GTCCTGGCAAAACTGCCATCGTTGCGCGTGAAGCAAACGTTATTTTTATATATATAAATAAATAAACATGCCGTTTTCAAAAATAAATTTATGCAAACCGACACACCTGATGATGACCGTTTGAGTTATGGTCGAAACGTCGTGAGAATTTTTTTATATATTTTGTTATTTTGTTGTTTCTCTTCAACGTGACTTTACCGAAAAAACTAAGAATAAGTGTCCATATTGTTTGGGTGACGACCGCTTGTGTTGCGATCGAGACGTAGTTTAAAAAAAAAAATTTGAACCTATCTACGTGACTTTACACGAAAGACCCAAAGAATATGAATTCCTGCAGTCACGAAAGCTTTCAGTCAAGATTTATATGCGTCGTTAAACCCTCCACCACCCGCCACAGCCAACTAGTAAGGGTTGTCACTTTAACAGAACATGCCAGTTCGATACTAGTACAGCACACCGGTGTGTTGGAGAGTAAATCCACAACATTTACCGAGTACGACGTTTCGCCAGTAATTACAACTAGCTTCATCAGGCGACAGCCAGATTTGTGGAGAAATCCTCCATTATACTGGTAGGAACGAAGTTGTAAACTGAGTGTACCAGCCTGCAATAGATTAATGTGTCCGTCCGTCCGTCCCCTTTGAATACTTTAACGAAGTGAAATCTCGTGCTGTTGGGTGTAAAATCAGCAATAGACAGCGCAGAGACTTGTCCTACCAGCCCACCCTGCAGGGACCTGTTCGTTCTTAAATAAATAAAACAAATATGGATATTGGTCGCGAAAGCCGACGTGTTAAAACGTGTTTTAAAGCTTTCGTGACTGCAGTAATTCATATTCTTAGCTCTTTCGGTAAAGTCACGTTGAAGGGAAACAATAAAATAATAAAATATATATAAAACAATATATATTTTATTAGTTTATTGTTTCCCTTCAACGTGACTTTACCAAAAGAGCTAAGAATGTGTTAAAACCTGTTTCGCACCTGTCCCTGTTGAGCCTCCCAGAAATGTGGAATCCCTAACTGGTGTGTGTGTGTGCACGCACCACCATGACCCCATACGGAATTTTGCAAGCGGGACTTTGGTAATAAAGACAGCGCGGGAATTCATCGAGAGTCAAACATTGGTGAGAATTTGTGTTTATCAAAAGGTACAAAAAAATCATCTCCGGGCAACGATTTGCGTGGAGTCGACAAAGCGAGATGTGAAAACGAGCGGCACAACGCTCCTCCGGGCTGTTAGAATCCCCGCTTCTAGACGAAGCTGCCTGCCTGGCTCCTGCAGACCCAGCCGTTCACACACTGTTAGAATCCCCGCTTCTAGACGAAGCGAGATGCAGACCCAGCCGTTCACACCCTGTTAGAATCCTCGCTTCTAGACCAAGCTGCCTGCCTGGCTCCTGTAGACCCAGCCGTTCACACCCTGTTAGAATCTCCGCTTCTAGACGAAGCTGCCTTCCTCCTGTAGACCCAGCCGTTCACACCCTGTTAGAACCCCCGCTTCTAGACGAAGCGAGATGCAGACCCAGCCGTTCACACCGTTAGAATCCTCGCTTCTAGACGAAGCTGCCTACCTACCTCCTGTAGACCCAGCCGTTCACACCCTGTTAGAACCCCCGCTTCTAGACGAAGCGAGATGCAGACCCAGCCGTTCATGCAGACCCAGACCCAGCCATTCACACCCTGTTAGAATCCCCGCTTCTAGACGAAGCTGCCTGCCTCCTGCAGACCCAGCCCTTCACACAGAGGCCTCCCCGGGAAGGGATTTACAAAGTGTAATGGTATAAAAACAATCGCGGGGGGATTCGTGCTTTTTAAAATTTCATTTTGTTCACGTCTCTTGCCCTCCCCCAATGTTATCGCGATCGTGCCCTTCATTCACCATTTACTCACCCTTCATTCACTCTTTACTCACCCTTTACTCACCCTTTACTCACCCTTTACTCACCCTTTACTCACCCTTTACTCACCCTTTACTCACCCTTTACTCACCCTTTACTCACCCTTTACTCACCCTTTACTCACCCTTTACTCACCCTTTACTCACCCTTTACTCACCTTTACTCACCCTTTACTCACCCTTTACTCACCCTTTACTCACCCTTTACTCACCCTTTACTCACCCTTTACTCACCCTTTACTCACCCTTTACTCACCCTTTACTCACCCTTTACTCACCCTTTACTCACCCTTTACTCACCCTTTACTCACCCTTTACTCACCCTTCATTCACCCTTCATTCAAACTTCACTCACCATTTACTCACCCTTCATTCACCATTTACTCACCCTTCATTCAAACTTCATTCACCCTTCATTCACCCAGGTAAGGTTTTACTCACCAGCGGGTCCCTGCTGCTGCATTTGGGATGTTTGGCCAATCGATGAATGAGTGATGGAGGTCGTGTGTGTATATTGAGCCGGAGAGATTTAAGGCAACGCAGAACTTGAGGCTGACATCTGCCCCCCGATGAGTGGAACTCACCAACCCCCAGGCTGCTGTAATTGTTGAGAACAATCTTCGACTCCCCTTTGGTGGCTCAGCTGTCGAGTGAGCTGCTCGCCATCGGAAGGTTGAGAGTTCATATCCTGGTTGGCGGGGGGGAGGGGGGGGTTGACTCATCCCATCATCTCTCCGGGGTCGATCAACTGGGTACCACTTTGTGGGGAGGGCAACAACGGTCCTTTGGATAGACTCACCCCCTGCCATTGGAATGTGGAATTTACCTACACTGCCTCAGTCATTTGGGCAGCAAAGCAAAGTCACTTCGACTTTTAGTGTAGGCGGTTCGGATCCAGCGGCCGTCCCGGTTAATATTTGGGGTGTAACAACCGGCATGGTTCTACTAGTACTACTTCGCGCCGTCGGATTCACAGTGGGCGTTCAAAGTTCCCGTGGCATCATTGACAAGAGGAGGCCGCTGTGTGCCAGTGTCACGGTGAACATGTGAAAGATTACACTGCACATGACTCATTGGGGATTCAACGCAGCAACAATAATTGTTCCCACCACCACAACCACCACAACCACCACCACAACCACCACCACAACCACCACCACAACCACCACCACAACAACCACACCACAACCACCACCACCACAACCACCACCACAACCACAACCACCACAACCACCACCACAACCACCACCACAAGCACCACCATAACCACCACCACAAGCACCACCACAACCACCACCACAAGCACCACCACAACCACCACCACAACCACCACCACAACCACCACCACCCACTCTGCAAGCTTGGCAGGGCCCTCTTGAAAAAGAGTCGCGAGACTGGGCGATGCTTTCCCGTGTAAACAATCGGAACAATACAACTCATAACAAGAGAGTGTGTGTGTCTGTGTCTGTGTGTGTCTGTGTCTGGACCACTGGACGGGTTCCGCAGGATTGGAGTGTAACAACTACAGGGGCATCTCTCTCTTCCCCAGTGTGCCGGAAAAGGTCCTGGCAAGGATTATTCAACATCGCCTTGCTAGGCACGCTAAGGAGAGGCTTGCGGAGCCACAATGCGGTTTCAGGAAAGGGCGGTCCTGCACAGATGCCATATTTTCTGTCCGTCTGCTACAGCAGAGGTGTAGGGAATTCCAGCAAGACCTACATCTCTGCTTTATTGACCTGGTTAAGGCCTATGATACCATCAGTAGGCTTGGGCTCAGGGTTTTTCTTCGTGCTTTTGGAGTCCCTGACCCTCTGCTCACGATCATTAAGGACCTTCATGATGGTGAACGGGCCCGGGTAAAACTACGTGGCCGGGAGTCGGAGCCATTCCCTGTACACCTTGGGGTGCGACAGGGATGTCCTCTGGCTCCCACATTATTTAACATCTATTTTGACCACGTAGTTTGTGAAGCCTTCAATAGCTGTACCGGGGAAATCTCCATTTGGTACAGATATAATGGAAGGCTGATCGATGCCCGGGTGCAGTCAAGGGATGGCTCCCTATTGCTCAACCACGTTATGTATGCCGATGATTTGGTAATAGCTGCTCATTCAGAGGAGAAGTTGGAGACGCTGCTGCTGAGACTGGAGCGTGCCACTAAGAGATGGGGCCTTACCATCAGCCCCACCAAAACTAAGCACCTGCCTGAGAATTTTGTACCATCGGACACTCCACCCCCACAACTCCCAATTGGTGATGGGGCAGTTGTGGAGAGAGTGGAGAGTTTCCTATACCTGGGCAGTGTGCTTATGACCGGCTCCAGTTTAACAGCAGAGGTCTCACTTCGAATCAGTCGAGCGGAAATATCTTTTCATCGGTTGCTTAACGTTGTGTGGAAGCTACCTGGTCTGTCGCTCCGCACTAAGCTTCAGGTCTTCTCGGCCACGGTCATTCCCTCCCTTCTCTACGCTTGCGAAACGTGGACCTCCCTAACGGAACATCTTCGCCTGTTAGAAACATTTAGGCTAGCCTGCCTACGATCCATCCTGGGTTTAACCAGGCTGGATTGTGTGAGGAGCTCACAATCTTAGAAAGATCTGGGCAAGGTCCCATCGGTGAGCTCCTCCAGCAGGCAAGCTGCGTTGGCTGGGTCATGTAGCCGGCCATGCCGAGCCCACGCATGCCGAAACAGCTTTTGTTCGGCCGGATCGAGGGGGCTAAACGGGCGCGGCACGGGGCTAGAGAAGAGATGGAGTGATGTGGTACAGGAGGACGTGAGCTGAGTGGACTTGCCGATGACTGGTACCAGCGGTGTCAAGATCGGCCTCTGTGGAGGAGGCTCGTGAAGGACGCTACTGGGCAGTTGGAGGCAGTCGCCCTCCAACAACAACGGAGGGCAGAGGAGCGACGCTCACAACAACGAGCGGAGCGCAGGGTAGCTAAAGCACAGCAGGTTGGCACAGTAGGCGGCACAGGTGGTGCATCAGCCAGTCATCTCAGTCAGTCGACCCGTGGCACCTGGGTCTGCCCCGTGACCTCCTGCCAGCGGGCGTTCGACACTTCACGTGGCCTCAAGGTGCACATGGCCTGGCACAAGCGTCGTGGTGACGTCACCGCCACTTAGTGGCGAATGGCGGTTGTTGTTGTGTGTGTTTGTGTGTATATATGTGTGTGTGTGTCTGTGTGTGTGTGGCCTCCACAGTGTAGCCCCCACGCGCCACCGGGAGGGCAGCCAAGGCCCCTCCCCCCCGCCCCCTCTCTCCGTGGCTCCGCGGCCCCCCACGTCACGGCGAGTACTGCAGATCCATCCCCACCACGATGAACGCCTGTCGGGGGCACAGCACGGAACGACGGTCATCGTCTCTCGCGACGCGCCCGGCGCTCACCGTCACCCCCCCACCCGCCACAGCAATCGGCGAACTCCGCCGGAGGTCAGCGTCACAGCAGCGGCGGCTTCTGGCTCAGCCGCCGTACAAAGACGGCAGTCGCCGCATCGCGCGGCGCTTTCAGGCGCGCTTCTGCGGCCGTCTGGAACGCTCTCCTGATGTTAGGAAGCCACTGGAGCCGTGCACTTTTAAGCCATCATCTAGATTGACAAACTCGTTGCTTCATAAACTGCTCCTTGTCTTTAGTTTGTTGTCCTTTCCCCCGCACCTCAGATTAGCTGTGGTTGGCTATGTATGGTGCGAAAGAAGGGCAACATAAACAAAACATTAAACACTAAAGAGAATCAATGCTTGTGCATGGATTCTGGCACATGACGGGGTACGTAGCCAGCACCACGCCCGGCCATCTTTGTCTCCCCAGTGCTGATGTTATTAGAGACATCGCACCAGGTATTCATGTAAGGCTGGGTCGACCTAGAGGAGGCCCAGGACCGGTTCAGATAATCGTCACTGTGTTGGCCGTGAGCAGAAATCGAACTTGGGTCACTGGGTAGCTCGGTGTGCTTACCGCTGCTCCACCGCTCCCCACTCACACCGAGACAAAGACGAGAGACTAAAACTAAACTAAACTTTTTTACCTTACCAGGTAAGGCCCACTCATGTACGTAGCTATTTTTGCGGAAGCAACCTGGCCACTAATGATAGCTCAACGAAGTTGGATTATCGTCATGTTGAAATGTACAGCGGCCAAGTACTCTAAACGTGTGATAACGATTCTAAATGCGATGGGAAAAACCAGAGGACCTTGCTAAAAATCCACGCGACCACTCCAATTATACAGCAGGCGTCAGGGTCAGGATCAAACCCACGCCCTTCTGCAAAGCGGGCAAGGGAGTTAACGTCTAGCCACCGGGGTGCTCACACACGCATGCTCTCACGAACGCTCCGGCTCGCACTACGCACCTCCTTGTTGAGCAGCACGGCGTTCACGATCTTCACTTTCTTCAGAAGCGGCATGGGGATTCCCTGGCTCAGCCTCTCTGTGCGGGACACAAAGATCAAAGATCCCCCGTGTAGCCTTAACAGACTGTAGGGGCAAGTGCTGTTAGCGAGCACCTATGAAGGCCCGAACGGTACACGAGGGGGTGGGTGGCCAGCACCACGCCCGACCGCCTTTGTCTCCCTAGTGGCAATGTTTACACACCGCACCAGGTACTCATTTGAGGCTGAGTCGACCTAGGGGATGCCCGGGACTGGTTCAGATAATCGTCACTGGTGTTGGCCGTGAGCGGGAATCGAACCCGGGTCGCCAGGTTCATAGCGCAGCGCGCTAACCGCTACACTATCGCTCCCTACTATGCCGGACACGCACACGCACACACAAACGCACACACACACGCGCACACACACGCACACACATACACACACATACGCGCGCGCACGCACGCGGGGACGGGACTCGGTTAGTGTCACGCGACACCTAGCCTGGCACGCCTGACACTCAAAAACATCTTCCTGGTGATGTGGACATTTTTAGCAGCCAAACACTCTATAAACGCGTGACGTTGATTCTAAATGCAGAGGGGGGAAACCACAGGATGCGGAGAGAAATCCACGCGACCAGAGGAAGAGAACACACAAACTCCAAATATACAGCAGGCGTCAGGGTCAGAATTGAGCCCACGACCTCCTGCATACGAGGCGAGGGAGTTAACATCTCCTAGCCGCTGTGACCACTGCTCACAGTCTCACGGCTGTGGTCCCCCTTGAGCAGAAGAGCTCAGCTCGATGGGCCTCACCAGCTGAAATAATGCAGCCCTGGACTATAAGTCTCTACGGATCTCTATGTAACTCCATGGATCTCTATGTAACTCCATGGATCTCTATGTAACTCCATGGATCTCTATGTAACTCCATGGATCTCTATGTAACTCCATGGATCTCTATGCAACTCCATGGATCTCTATGTAAGTCTATAGAGCTCTATGTAACTCCATGGATCTCTATGTAACTCCATGGATCTCTAAGTCTATAGAGCTCTATGTAACTCCATGGATCTCTATGTAACTCCATGGATCTCTATGTAACTCCATGGATCTCTATGTAACTCCATGGATCTCTATGTAACTCCTTGGATCTCTATGTAACTCCATGGATCTCTATGTAACTCTATGGATCTCTATGTAACTCCATGGATCTCTATGTAACTCCATGGATCTCTATGTAACTCCTTGGATCTCTAAGTCTATAGAGCTCTATGTAACTTCATGGATCTCTATGTAACTCCATGGATCTCAATGTAAGTCTATAGAGCTCTATGTAACTCCATGGATCTCTATGTAACTCCATGGATCTCTATGTAAGTCTATAGAGCTCTATGTAACTCCATGGATCTCTATGTAACTCCATGGATCTCTATGTAACTCCATGGATCTCTATGTAAGTCTATAGAGCTCTACGTAACACCATGCATCTCTATGTAACTACGGTTCTCTGCAAGTATAGAAATCCATAGTATATATTTTTGGGGGATTAGATCACGTAAATATAAATGTGTCGTTATTCGCGAAAGCCTACGTGTTAAACTGAAGTCGAGGGATCTGTATGTAACTCTGAATCTCTTTGTAACTCTATGCGTACCTGTCCAACTGGATCTCAGCGTCACCTCATAGACATCGATGTGATGCCATGGATCTCGATGCGAGTCTACGGCTCTCTGTGTCACCCCCCGTATCCGCGACGCCGTCACTGCCGGCGGAGTTTGTAACAGTGCTGCTCGGCTCAAGGGGCTCTTAGCAGCTGAGATCGTCAAACCTGAGCCTCAGCCTGGCCTACCAAGGAGAGTCAGGCGCGCTGGTCCAACTCGCGAGCAGCCGGCTATATTTAGTTATTTCCTCAGAAAGATTGCCCCCTTAACAACATTTGATTCCTTGCAAAAGGTTTATATTTGGCGTTTGAGCATTTTAACACGTTTTACTGCCAGAAAGGGTAAAAACCTATTCTTATTTTTCAAACATTTGACTGTTCACTCTTTAATTTGGCTGAATTGCGGCGCCAATAATTGAAATATTCGTTTTACTGCCATGTGGCGAACGTTACTCCCGGCGGTCGAGACAGCTGGCAAAAGTGCTGGCCAGATTGAATTTGATGGGGCTGCTGTTATTGTGTGTGCAGTCACTGATGACCAACCAGGCTGAGACCATGAGCTCACTGCACTTGAGAAGCCATTTGATGGTGGCTGGCCGACACGTAGACCCAGAACCTGGTTCTGAGTGGTTCTTGTTCGGTGCCCTGAGCCTCCGAGCCACCGGGGCTGCCCTCACTGTGTGGCCGAGCGGGCTGCGTGGGTGCGTTGTGTGCGCGGCGTTGCGTTACCGTTCACTTTGGGCAGGATGATCGTTTTAGCAATGAACTTAATGATCGACTGCAGCAAATTGACCTGTAGGGGAGCAGCACACAGAGTGGCACGCAGAGAATGGAGCGGTTAGCCGTGCCCGGGCCGAAAGCTCTGCCCCACGCGCCCATCCAGAAGTCAGCTGTAAGCACCAAAGATGTCAGTTACACAGCGGTTAGCGCATTAAGCTACGAGCCTGGTGACCCGAGTTCGATTCCCGTTCTCGTGGCCAACGTTGGTGACGATTATCTGAACCGGTCCCGGGCCTCCCCTAGGTCGACTCAGCCTCCAATGAGTACCTGGTGCGGTGTGTAAACATCACCACTGGGGAGACAAAGGCGGCCTGGCGTGGTTCTGAATACCTATCCCCTCGTGTGTGCCGCACCGGGCCTTCATAGGTGCTGCTCGCTAACAGAACTTGCCTCAACAGTCTGTTAAGGCTATATGGGAGATCTTTGTCTGCAGTGTCACGTGTGTCAGTGTCGCACGGGTGGGTGCTCTTACGTGCACGTCTCCCACATCCGACTTCACCAGCGTCAGGAGCATGCTGCACACGCAAGCAGCAAACAAAGCAGACACAGCAGCGGATCGACATAGACCCAGACCAAGACACAGACCCAGCCATACACCCAGACATAGACTCAGACATAGACCCAGACATAGACCTAGACATAGACCCAGACGTAGACCCAGCCATACACCCAGACTTAGACCCAGACATAGGCCCAGACATAGACCCAGACATAGACCCAGACATAGACCCAGACACAGTCCCCGACACAGTCCCCGACACAGACTCAGACATAGACCCAGACATAGACCCAGACTTAGACCCCGACAAAGGCTCAGACATAGACCCAGACGTAGACCCAGATGTAGACCCTGACATAGACCCAGACACAGACCCCGACACAGACTCAGACATAGACAGAGACATAGACCCAGACTTAGACCCAGACCCAGACATAGACCCAGACTTAGACCCCGACAAAGACTCAGACATAGACCCAGACACAGACCCAGAATTGGACCCAGACATAGACCCAGACGTAGACACAGACATAGACCCTGACATAGACCCAAACGTAGACCCAGACGACGACGCTGACATAGACCCAGACTTAGACCCCGACAAAGACTCAGACATACACCCAGACTTAAACCCAGACATAGACACAGACGTAGACGCTGACATAGACCCAGATGTAGACCCAGAGATAGACCCAGACGTAGACCCAGACATAGACCCAGACTTAGACCCAGACGTAGACCCTGACATAGACCCAGACTTAGACCCAGACATAGACACAGACGTAAACGCTGACATAGACCCCGACACAGACTCAGACGTAGACCCAGACATAGACCCAGACGTAGACCCAGACACAGACCCCAACAAAGACCCGGACATAGACCCAGACATAGACCCAGGCTTGGACCCAGACGTAGACCCAGACATAGACCCTGACATAGACCCAGACTTAGACCCAGACATAGACCCAGACGTAGACCCAGACGTAGACCCTGACATAGACCCAGGCTTAGACCCAGACATAGACCCAGATGTAGACCCAGACGTAGACCCAGACGTAGACCCTGACATAGACCCAGACTTAGACCCAGACGTAGACGCTGACATACACCTAGATATAGACTCCGACAAAGACTCAGACACAGACCCAGACTTAGACCCCGACACAGACTCAGACATAGACCCAGACTTAGACCCAGACATAGACACAGACCCAGACTTAGACCCCGACAAAGACCCAGACATAGACCCAGACTTAGACCCAGACATAGACACAGACACAGACCCAGACTTAGACCCCGACAAAGACCCAGACATAGACCCAGACTTAGACCCAGACGTAGACCAGGACGTAGACCCAGACGTAGACCCTGACATAGACCCAGGCTTAGACCCAGACGTAGACCCAGACGTAGACCCAGACGTAGACCCTGACATAGACCCAGGCTTAGACCCAGACATAGACCCAGTCGTAGACCCAGACACAAACCCAGACTTAGACCCAGACATAGACCCAGATGTAGACCCAGACGTAGACCCAGACGTAGACCCTGACATAGACCCAGACTTAGACCCAGACGTAGACGCTGACATACACCTAGATATAGACTCCGACAAAGACTCAGACACAGACCCAGACTTAGACCCCGACACAGACTCAGACATAGACCCAGACTTAGACCCAGACATAGACACAGACCCAGACTTAGACCCCGACAAAGACCCAGACATAGACCCAGACTTAGACCCAGACATAGACACAGACACAGACCCAGACTTAGACCCCGACAAAGACCCAGACATAGACCCAGACTTAGACCCAGACGTAGACCAGGACGTAGACCCAGACGTAGACCCTGACATAGACCCAGGCTTAGACCCAGACGTAGACCCAGACGTAGACGCTGACATAGACTCTGACATAGACCCAGACGTAGACGCTGACATAGACCTAGATATAGACCCCGACAAAGACCCAGACATAGATCCAGACATACACCCAGACACAGACCCCGACAAAGACTCATACATAGACTCATACATAGACCCAGACATAGACCCAGACTTAGACCCAGACTTAGACCCAGACCCCGACTGGGGGTGTGGCTAGAGTCTATTGTTTACTGGGGGGAGGGGGGTGGCTAGAGTCTATTGTTTACTGGGGGGAGGGGTTGGCTAGAGTCTATTGTTTACTGGGAGGAGGGTGGCTAGAGTCTATTGTTTACTGGGGGGGGGGCTAGAGTCTATTGTATACTGGGGGGGGGGGGGGTGGGGGGATGGCTAGAGTCTATTGTATATTGGGGGGGGGGGTGGCTAGAGTCTATTGTTTACTGGGGGGTGGGGGGGGCTATTGTCTATTGTTTACGGGGGGGGGGGGGGGGGGGGGGGGTGGGGGGGGGGGGGGGGGGGGGGGGGGGGGGGGGGGGACTAGAGTCTATTGTTTACGGTGGGGGGGTGGGGTGGCTAGAGTCTATTGTTTACTGGGGGGGTTACTGGGGGGGGGGGGGAGACTAGAGTCTATTGTTTACTGGAGGGGGGGTGGTGGCTATAGCTTATTGTTAATACCACGCTGCCAACCCAGAGCCCCACCCAGTGGTAGTGGCACCGAGGTTCTGCGCACGAAGCAAAGCTGCTGACCTGTCCAGCGTGAGTGTCCCATGCAGCTTGTTAGCGTCGATCTCCAGCCTGGCATCAAGCGAGGTGTTCTGCACACGCACAGCGAGGCGCTCCCTTAGCGAGCTCCTACTCGACCCTAGTGAGTGTACGCACGTGTGTGTGTGTGTGTGTCAGTGTGTGTATGTGTGTGTGTCAGTGTGTGTGTGTGTCAGGAGGCCTGGGCTCTGGGTTGTTCTTCGTGCTTTTGGAGTCACTGACCCTCTGCTCACGATCATTAAGGACCTTCATGATGGTGAGCGGGCCCGGGTAAAACTACGTGGCCGGGAGTCAGAGCCATTCTCTGTACACCTTGGGGTGCGACAGGGATGTCCTCTGGCTCCCACATTATTTAACATCTATTTTAACCACGTAGTTCGTGAAGCCTTCAATAGCTGTATCGGGGGAATCTCCATATGGTACAGATATAATGGGAGGCTGATCGATGCCCGGGTGCGGTCAAGGGATGGCTCCCTATTGCTCAACCACGTGATGTATGCTGATGATTTGGTAATAGCTGCTCAGTCAGAGGAGGAGTTGGAGACGCTGCTGCTGAGACTGGAGCGTGCCACTAAGAGGTAGGGCCTTACTATCAGCCCCACCAAAACTAAGCACCTGCTTGGGTATTTTGTACCATCGGACACTCCACCCCCACAACTCCCAATCGGTGATGGGGCAGTTGTGGAGAGAGTGGAGAGTTTCCCATACCTGGGCAGTGTGCTTATGACTGGCTCCAGTTTAACAGCAGAGGTCTCACTCCGAATCAGTCGAGCGGCAATATCTTTTCATCGGTTGCGTAATGCTGTGTGGAAGCTACCTGGTCTGTCGCTCCGCACTAAGCTTCAGGTCTTCTCGGCCACGGTCATTCCCTCCCTTCTCTACGCTTGCGAAACGTGGACCCCCCTAATGGAACATCTTCGCCGGTTAGAAACATTTAGGCTGGCCTGCCTACGATCCATCCTGGGTTTAATCAGACTGGATTGTGTGAGGAGCTCACAAATCCTTGAAAGATCTGGGCAAGGTCCCATCGGTGAGCTCCTCCGGCGGGCAAGGCTGCGATGGCTGGGTCATGTAGCCCGCATGCCCAGCCACCGCATGCCGAAACAGCTTTTGTTCGGCCGGATTGAGGGGGCTAAGCGGGCACGGCACGGGCTAGAGAAGAGATGGAGTGATGTGGTACAGGAGGACGGGAGCTGAGTGGACTTGCCGATGACTGGTACCAGCGGTGTCAAGATCGGCCTCTGTGGAGGAGGCTCGTGAAGGATGCTACTGGGCAGTTGGAGGTAGTCGCCCTCCAACAACAACGGAGGGCGGAGGAGCGACGCTCAGAACAACGAGCGGAGCGCCGGGTGGCTAAAGCACAGCAGGTTGGCACAGTAGGGGGCACAGGTGTGCATCAGCCAGTCATCTCAGTCAGTCGACCCGTGGCACCTGGGTCTGCCCCGTGACCTCCTGCCAGCGGCGTTCGACACTTCACGTGGCCTCAGGGTGCACATAGCCTGGCACAAAACGTCGTGGTGACGTCACCGCCACTTAGTGGTGAATGGCGGTTGTTGTTGTTGTCAGTGTGTGTATGTGTGTGTATCAGTGTGTGTCAGTGTGTGTGTGTGTCAGTGTGTGTGTGTCAGTGTGTGTGTGTGTCAGTGTGTGTATGTGTCTGTCAGTGTTTGTGTGTCAGTGTTTGTGTGTCAGTGTGTGTGTCAGTGTGTGTATGTGTCTGTGGTGGGGAGCGGTAGTGTAGCGGTTAGCGCGCTGCGCTATGAAACTGGCGACCTGGGTTCGATTCCCGCTCACAGCCAACACCAGTGACGATTATCTGAACCGGTCCCGGGCCTCCCCTAGGTCGACTCAGCCTCTAAATGAGTACCTGGTGCGGTGTGTAAACATCGCCACTAGGGAGACAAAGGCGGTCGGGCGTGGTGCTGGCCACCCACCCCCTGGTGTACCGTTCCGGCCTTCATAGGTGCTCGCTAACAGCACTTGCCCCTACAGTCTGTTAAGGCTATATGGGGGATCTTTGTCTTTGTTTGTATGTGTCTGTGACAGTGTGTATGTGTCAGTGTGTGTATGTGTCTGTGTTTGTGTGTCAGTGTTTGTGTGTCATTGTGTGTATGTGTTTGTATGTCAATGTGTGTATGTGTGTGTGCCAGTGTGTATGTGTCAGTGTGTGTATGTGTCTGTGTCAGTGTTTGTGTGTCAGTGTTTGTGTGTCAGTATTTGTGTGTCAGTGTGTGTGTATGTGTGCGAGGGGAGCGGTGGTGTAGTGGTTAGCGTGCCGCACTACAAACTCGGCGACCCGAGTTCGATTCCCGCTACGGCCAACGCCGGTGACGATCATCTGAACCGGTCATGGGCCTCCCCTATCAGCCTCAAATGAGTACCTGGTGCGGTGTGTAACATCGCCATGGGGGAGACAAAGGCGGCCGGGCGTAGTGCTCGCCACCCACCCCCTAGGGTGCCATGGCGGCCTTCATAGGTGCTCGCAAACAGCACTTGCCCCAAAAGTCTGTTAAGGCTAAAGGGGGATCTTTGTGTGCGCGAGCCTGTGTGTGCGTGTATGTGTGTGCGTTCGTGCCTGTGCGTGCGTGTGTTTGCGTGGTTGTGTGTGTGTGTGCGTGCTTGCGCGTGCCTGTGCGTGTGTTTGCGTGCGTGCACGTGTCTCACGGCGTTGATGGAGAAGAGGAAGCTGTGCGTGCCGTTGGGCCACAGGGCGGTGAAGGTGGCGAGGGCCTGCGTGCGGAGCGTCACGTTGCCAGCGGCGATGGAGAGCGTGGGCCCGGCGCTCGACTCCACCCTGACCTCCACAGCCAGGCCCGGGAAGTCCTTGAGCTGACGCGCACAGACAAAGGTCCCCCGTGTGGCACGTGCTGCCGCCGAGCGCCCGTGCGGTGTGGCACACCGGTTGGCAGCGCAGGCCACGCACCGGCCGCCCTTGTCCCCCCGGCGCTACTCGTTTGCACACCAAACCAGGTAGTCATTTGAGGCCGAGTCGACCTAGGGGAGGCCCAGAGCACCGGTTCCGATAATCGTCACAGGTGTTGGCCATCGAACGGGAATCGAACTCGGGCGGTCAGGGTTTGTTTCGCGGCGCTCTAACTGCTACGCCACCGCTCCCCGCACAAGCACGCACAAGCAGAGCCGAGCCAGAGGCGTGCTGGCATGGCCCAGGCGGCGCCAGCGTTGTTTTTCCACCGCAGTGGCCGAGCTGCGCCGCTGACGTCGCGCGCAGCGAGCCAGTGGAGACGCGTGTGGGTGGCGCGGTGGCGGCGATGGTGCGTCCTCCAGCTAGGTACGGCGCTACCCAGTGGAGAAACCAGCCGTAGTACCGTGAGAGCGCTGCGATGCCTCGGCTCGGACGCGCCGGTGGGAAAGGGGTGAAAGCGACCGGCGCCAAGAGGCTGTGGGGCACTTGTGCGCACCTTCACAGCGATGGGCGCCAGGCTGGAGGTGTTGAGGTGGAAGGGAGCGTCCTTCGGCAGCTGCGAGCAGAGACCACGTGCACAACGGCACAGCAACACGGCGTCACGCCAAGCACGTTCGTCGGCAGCCACGGCACCTGAACGCGGGTGGTGGTGGTGGTGGTGGCAGCTACGCGTGTGGCTGCCTGTAATCCGGCACCGCGGAGGCAGCGGCAAGGGCTGGTGAATCACCGCGCAAATGTTGCGAAACTCTCTGCCCGTTGGGTGTCGAGGAGGTGCCATACCCAGGCTCGCCAAAGAAGGTGGCACAGCAAACACGTGGAGTGTTATCCATCTGTACGGCATCGAGTGTTGCGCCCTCACATGTGTAGGTGCTCTGATTTCCTCTCCCACTCATGAGTTGGCTGATAACACCTTGATATATTGAGGACTGCAGAGCTTGGCGAGGAGAGGTGGGAATTTGGTGTTAGTTCACCACTTGGCTGCCACAAGTCACCACTGAAACTATCACTTAAGAAAACATTCAAATTTTTTTACTATTTTTATTTTACCAGGTAAGGCCCGCTGAGCTGCATAGCTCTTTTTCAGAGGCGACCTGGCTACCACAAATGATAGCTCAACGAAGTGGCTTATCATGTGGAAATGCCTAGTAGCCAAATACTCTAAAGGCGGGATGTTGGTTCTAAATGTGGAGGGAAAAATTAGAGGACCCGGAAAAAAATCCACGTGACCACGGGGACAGAGATACATGCAAACTCCAATATACAGCAAGCATCAGGGTTGGGATCGAACCTACAACCTCCTGTATACCAGGCGAGGTAGGTAACATCTCACCAGCGTGGTTCGTCCTCATGCCTCTGAGTCATTCTCCTTTTGAGGGAGCGAATACTGTGTAGCAGGGGCACGTTACAAGTTGAAACTATCGATGCATTCGATCGCGAGTGTGGTGGAGTGGAATTTATCATAAGACTTATTTAAATATTATGTCAGTCGGAGTGTTTACCAGGAGATTGGGTCGACCCATAAAACACCCCTCATGTAGAACAAGGGAATGGTTTGACCCATGAAACACCCCTGATGTAGAATGGGGGAATGGTTTGACCCATAAAACACCCCTCATGTAAAACGGGGGAATGGTTTGACCCATAAAACACCCCTCATGTAGAACAGGGGAATGGTTTGACCCATAAAACACCCCTCATGTAGAACAGGGGAATGGTTTAACCCATAAAACACCCCTCATGTAGAACGGGGGAATGGTTTGACCCATAAAACACCCCTCATGTAGAACAAGGGAATGGTTTGACCCATGAAACACCCCTCATGTAGAACAGGGGAATGGTTTGACCCATGAAACACCCCTCATGTAGAACAGGGGAATTGTTTGACCCATAAAACACTCCTCATGAAGCCACTGGAGCTGTGCACTTTAAAATCATCCAGATTTAAAACAAATTTCTTTAGAAGTGCTGCTTTTGTTTAGTTTGTTATCCTTCCTTCGCACCTCCAGTGAGAACAGTTGGCTATGAAAGAAGTTCATCATGCACACTGTACATCACCGTTGTCTCACAGTGTTCGTGGTTCCTCTTCTTAATGCTTGGATTTGTTTTCAAATGTATGAGATGAAAGTTCCCAGGGTCGTGAGTCCGCCTTCCTCACCCATCATACCATGACAGTGAGCGGGTGAGTAAGTGAGCGATGTAGCACAGCACGGCAGTATTACTGTTGTGAGCGATATCGGCGACACATCTCTGTTGACGAGGATTAGTTCTAAATACGTTCATCAACGGTGACTCCTCCGGGGTGCATGACAATAACCAAGCATAACGATAACTAAAACACGCATGGAACAGGGGTTCTGTATCGGACGATATGAGGGTTCTGTATTGGATGAGACGAGGGTTCTGTATGGGATGAGACGAGGGTTCTGTATGGGATGAGACGAGGGTTCTATATGGGATTAAATGAGGGTTCTGCATCAGATAAGACGAGGGTTCTGGAATATATGACATGATGGTTCTGTATCAGATAAGACGAGGGTCTCTGTATCTCACCATGGCCTCAGTGATGATGTAGGTGAGGGCACCGGAGGCTTGGTACGCGTAGCCAGCGCTGTTGAAGAGGAACTCGGATAAGCCGAAGTAGAGCATGCGGTCAGCAGAGGTGCCCAGATCCATGGGGGGTGCAGGGACAGGGAACTCGGAGTGGTGCTGCAGGCTGTAGAACTCACCCTGCGGGGCCAGGCGCAGACACGGATACACACGTAGGGACACGGAGGGACGCATGGAGACACACAGAGAGAGACACGTAGACACAGAAAGAGGCACGAATAGACACACAGAGTCACATTTAAAGAGACGGATAGAAACATGGAGAAATAGAGACACGCATGGAGACATGGATAGAGACACGGAGACGCGCATGGAGTCACGGAGACACAGACATAGAGCGGAGACGTGGATACACGGATAGAGACGTGGAAATGGGACACGGAGAGGTACAGTGGTCTGCTCGGTAGGACACTTACAGCAGCCCGGTCACCGGTACAGGGTTACTGAACAGGTGAGTGGTGGACAGGTGACTGCTGAGCAGGTGAGTGGTGGGCAGGTGACTGCTGAGCAGGCGAGGGGCAGACAGGTGAGTGGAGAACGGGTGATCGGTGGCCAGGTGAGTGGCGGACAGGTGAGTGGAGAACGGGTGATCGGTGGAAAGGTGAGTGGTGAGCAGGTGAGTGGCGAGCAGGTGAGTGTGCTCACCTTGCAGGGAATGTCCAGCATGTCCGCGCGGGTGTCGGGAGGACTCAGGAGCGAGTAGTCGACCTCTGTGAATTCGTCCACCTTGGCAGTGACTGGGGTCACGATCACATTCGGAATGACATTTACATGAATTTTTGGACACGTCAACGTCATGAGCATCATCATAAATAATCAGCATCAATGACATCACTACCTCGAACTTCGGCTTTGTATCGTGATCACCATACGTGACATTGCTCATTGATCTCTTTGCATGCTCCACGCCTCATTAACATCGGCATCATCGTCGCCATCGATCGCCGTGTTACCGTGACAACCCTTCACAGGGCCCACATCTCTCGCACTGTTCAGATGTTGTTCCCGTTTGTCTGCTGTTCAGGCAACGCGTTGGAGAGCCGTGTTGCAGCCGAAAAGCCACGCGCCCATCCTACACGTACAGTTTGACCCTGGAAGCGTAGCCTTTACCCACAAACTCTTTTACACACGAACTCTTTCACACACAAACCCTCGCAATGATTTACTTTTCAAATGTGGGCCACCGAAATATCGCAGCGCTGGGGATTGATTGGCTTCGCTCGGTCGTCCGGGCTTCATTTCAGCCACATCTAGCCCACGTCGGTTACCGGGAAAACGAAAATGTCCACACCCAGTAACGCCACATCCAGGAAACCCGTCGCTCATGGCTGTGGCTACTATTACTACGAGCACCTCCGATTAGCACAGTTGGATACGTACGGTGTGAAAGAAGTTCAACGTACATAGATATTGCTCGTCACGTGCCACCTGCTTCGGTCTGTAAACCAGCGACGCCCAAAAGAATAAAAAAACATTCCATGAGAAATGAATCCCTGTCCGTGTGGCGAGATCAGCCCGTGGTCTGCATTGCCGTACATCAACTAAAACGAAACTTTTTTTTTATTTTGCCACGTAAGGCCCACTGAGCTATATGTAGAGGGAAAAACTGGAGGACCTGAAGAAAAATCCACGCGACCATAGGGAGTGAGATACACAAACTCCAAATATACAGCAGCAGCAGGCGTCAGGGTCGGGATCAAACCCACGACCTCCTGTACACGAGGCGAGGGCGTTAACATCGCCCCCTAAAAGCTTGCATGTGTAAATAATCCCACACCGCTGGTGAACCGAGTAACCATGGGGTTGTGTCTCCCACGTGGGGTCTCACTTGAGATCTCCTGCAGGCTGTTCTCCAGGTCGCTGTTGATCGCTTCGGTCACCTGATCACACAGCTGTTGCGAGAGACGGGAGGGGGGCGGCCGTGAGCAGCACAGTTGCTCGTGAACTCATCACAAGCGCCGCTTTTTGTTGCCGTTCACGTCTACCCCAATGTCAGCCCCGTGCATGCTGCTGTCGGGTGCTGCGTCGTCGCCACACTGCTCTTGCGAACAAATCTCGCAAGAGCAGTCTGGAGCCTACGCGCTATTAGAAAATGTACCCACGGAAGCGGATATCACAGAGCGACCTCCGAGATCCCTTCTTCAAGACTAGAATCACCAATGTTACGCCGGTTGTGCTATCGGCGTCACGTCATTACAGGATGAATCCATTTGAATCTCTCGCAAAGAACAGTGCGACCCTCCACCTCGTCAGAGAATGCCCCCACGGAAGCGGATATCACAGAGCGACCTCTGAGATCCCTTCTTCTTCAAGTGACACCTCTGGTCCGCACACGCAGAAAAGGACTTCCCCCACCCGCTCTGCATATGAGAGTGAGGTTCGTCGTGTGACAGGCAAACCGATGTTTTCATTCTCAGAGCTGGAATTTAGCAACATTAAACAAAGGACAATAAGTTGGTCTGGCGTGTTCGTGGTCCTGGCCATACCACCCGCTCTGGTCCCATCGCGACCTTAATAGGTGCTCGCAGACACACACACGCGCGAAGACGGCGCCGGTGTTCACACCTGTCGCACTCATATAAGGTCGCACTCATTAGACACAGAGCGCTCGCCACAGATGAAGCTAAATTCCTTGTCGATCTTGTCAAGGAGCGTGAACTATCACGCGACCTCCGGTCGTCCTCGCAGTGACGTTTAACTCGCCATCGGACAGAGACGGCGGTCATCGCATCGGCCGCTTTCAAATGTTCTTCTGCGGCCCTCTAGAAATGCTCTTCTGATATTAGTAAGCCACTGGAGCTCTGCACTTTCAAATTCAGATTTAAAACTCATTTCTTTAGAACTGCTTATTGTGTTTAGTTTGTTGTCCTTCCCCACCCCTCCAATTAGCACGGTTGGCTATGTACGGTGCAAAAGAAGTTCAACACACATACATACCTGACCCTTCAGGTGGTCTCGTATGTTATTCTCGATGAGGTGTTTGAAGAGGTTGTACAGCCAGCTGTAACACACACACACAACAACAATTGTTTAAACCATGGGGTTTGGAAACCTAGGCCCATCATAGGCTGCACGTCACTCCCGGCTTGACCTTATATGGCCCGTGGCCACAATGAGGCCCCGACACTTTTAAAAGGCCCGCAGATGATGTCAATCAATCGCTGCAAGAATCTCATCCACACTAATCGGGTACGAGAGGGAGAATATGTTTGAATTAGGCGAGATTAGTATGTGCCTTTGTCAAACTTCTTTCGCGTCATACGCAGCCAACCATGCCTATCGGAGGTGCCGGGGGAAGGACCAAGAGAAAACGTGCAAACATAAACATCTATCGTAGCAAGGAGACTGAGGAAGCTGGTGGATATTGGTGAGAGTTTGGATTCAGACAGGGAAGGTCAACAATGTGTAATAAGTGGCTCCGACACAGCACAACTTTATTTATTCATTAAAGGTTCTTCACAGCCACGACTCCTCTCGTTACGCGGATGCCGTCGTTTCGTTCTTGGCGTGACTGCGCTGCCCCGGGCTACGTGGCGCTCACCCCGCTGATCTCCACCGCACCGCTGGCTGGCGGCGCGCTGGGGAGCGGCCGAGCGGCTGGAGGTCGAACCGCCACGTGGCTGGTGGAGTTGGCGGGGCAGCAGCGATGGGGAGCTCCTCTTCAGTCTTCAACCACCGACCCCGAACCGTCCGCTACTCCCCGCTTATATTCCCCTTTCTGAGGCTAAGCCCCGCCTCTCGCCACGCCCCTCTAGGAACCTTCGAGAACGTTCCAGAGGCTTCCATTCTAGATCCGCCCATTAACCTTTCCCCCAGATAGAACCCCACTACTGATAAGCCATGGACTGTCTGACAGTATATAAAGTGTAACCCTACTCACTCATTGGTTTGTTTCGGTAAAGTCACGTATGTAGAAATACAATAAAATTATATTAAAACAATCACGACGTTTCGATCACAACGCAAGCGATCTTCATCAGGTGTCAAGAACAAATCACGGAGGTAAATACAACAAGAAGATGAGAGACGAGAATTCAACAAACCTGAAAAAAACATGTGAAGCACATCCAGTCAGGCCAACAACACAGACACTTCCTGGCGGACCACGAATTTCAGAAGAATGTTAAATTTCGTGTTCAACCTTTGGATTGCACATACCAGCATATACCAGCATAGATATCTCTGCTGGTATGTGCAATCCAAAGGTTGAACACGAAATTTAACACTTCTGAAATTCGTGGTCCGCCAGGAAGTGTCTGTGTTGTTGGCCTGACTGGATGTGCTTCACATAATGTTTTTTCAGGTTTGTTGAATTCTCGTCTCTCATCTTTTTGTTGTATTTACCTCCGTGATTTGTTCTTGACACCTGATGAAGATCGCTTGCATTGTGATCGAAACGTCGTGATTGTTTTTTAAAATATAATTTTATTGTATTTCTACATACGTGACTTTACCGAAAAAACCAATGAGTAATGTTATGCAGTCACGAATGCTTCAATACTTTATTATTAAAGTGTAACCCCTCAATTATTCAGGAGATGGTGCTCGCTTATTACAAATGGAGACAATATTTGCACTGAGAGTATTGATGGAGAAGTGCAGAGAGAAGAAACGGGACCTGCACATGGTGTTTATTGATCTCGAGAAAGCATACGACAGGGTGCCGAGATAAATCTCTGGTGGTGTATAAGAAGAAGAAGAGGAAGAGGAGGAAGAAGAAGAAGAAGAGGTATTCCTGAGGTATATGTCCCGCTCATCCAGGGTATGTATGGAGGAGGGATAATGCACGCACAAAGCAGCCATGAAGCGAGGTTCCACCCGGAGCCCCTTCCTGCTCGCAGACGACATTGTGCTATGCGGTGAAAGCAGAGGGGTAGTGGAAGATGATTTGAAGATCTGGGTGCAAAATATTGAAGGGAATGGGTTGAGGATCAGTTGGACAAAGACAGAGTACATGGTGGCTAATTTCAAAGTAAATAATGCAGAAGGAGGATTGTAAATTGGAAGTGACCAGTTAATGAAGGGGAACGAGTTTAAGCACCTGGGTGCAACGATGTGGTGCTGATGGATCACCAGAAGGAGAGTTGAGAATAAGTACAAGGGTTGGATGGCTGAAATGGCGAGAGTTGACTGCTGTGGTGTGTTATAAGAGGATCCCCAGTATGGTTGAAGGGTGCTGTTGTATGGGGCTGAGTGCTGGTGCACAAGAAAGTGGGAGGACCAAGCTATGGCAGTCACAGAGATGATGTTGCGGTGGATGTTGGGTTTAACGAGGAAGGACAGGGGCGTGAGAAATGAAGAAGTGAGAGTAAGACTCGAGGTGGTAGAAATCGCAGAGAAGATGAGAGAGAGAAAAGGCTGCGCTGTCGTTTGGTCATGTTGAGAGACAACAGGAAAAGTGTGTGTGGGTCAGAAGCTGTGCAAGTGATGCAAGTGGAAGGAAAGAGATCAAGGGGAAGGCATCAAAAGTGGTGGGGGTGGGGCGATGTGGCGCGATCGGACACGGTGGCCCGAGGAGCCGGACAGAGAGTTGGCGCTGGACAGGGCAGCGTGGAGAAGGTTGGCAAGGACAGCGGAATGGAATAACCGCACGGGAGAAAAGGAGGAAACGTACCAGTAACACTTTGAGCTGAGTTATACGAGTAAATCATGCCCCATACCTGTTGTTTGTGCTGCTTCTGCTATTGTAATTCAGAATATATATTTTTCAGAATCAGATTTTTTACGGAAGGAATCCAATGCGCTATAAAGCTACCCTCCGCAGGAATGTGTTTTTTCAGAAGCGACCTGGCCACAAATGAGAGCTCAGCGAAGTGGCTTATCACGTGCAAATTTGTCACTGCAAAAATAAATATCTAAACGCTGTAAACAATCTAAACGCGTGACGTTGATTCAATACGCAGCTTTGATGCCACTGCAGTCACCTGGCCCCGCCGTGGAACTTGATGTCGACGTCGCCAACCTCGCTGCTGCAGCCACCGGCGCTGACCGACGGCCTCCCCGTGACATCGCGCGACAGCACCAGCACGGTGGACAGCGACAGCCCACTCATGCGCATGTCAAACGTGCCGCTGTCCTTCCTGCGCTCATCCGACGCAAACGCAGTGAGTTGACCCCCATATGATAGACGCACAACCCTGCCAAACTGCGCCCTTGCCTCCCCAGTTGCAAGAACATCGCTCCCTGAACAGAAGCTCCCTTCACCGCTGTCCGGATATGGAACTTTCTCCCTGAACACTGATTCTGCTATATTCATATTCTTAGCTCTTTCGGTAAAGTCACGTTGAAGGGAAACAATAAAATAATAAAATATATATGAAACAATAAAAATTCTCACGACGTTTCGACCATAACACAAACGGTCGTCATCAGGTGTGTCGGTTGTTATGGTCGAAACGTCGTGAGAATTTTATTGTTTTATATATATTTTATTATTTTATTGTTTCCCTTCAACGTGACTTTACCGAAAGAGCTAAGAATATGAATTACTGCAGTCACGAAAGCTTTAAATCAAAACTGATTCTGCTCTTCAGGCCTTCGAACGCCGAGCACATGGAACATCTCCTAACTTCACCACACGCCTTGTAGGAGTGAGTCTTTGAGTTGCAGTGAATCAATGATTGTGCCGATTACATGTACTCATGTCTGATACGGCTGTTGTTTCACAATTGCACCCAATAAAAAGATCAGAACTACACCACTGTCGTCTTAGGTACAGGTTGAACACTACGGGATCAGACCCACGGACAGCACTGATCCTCTTAGGTACAGGTTAAACACTTTGGGATCAGAACCACGGACAGCACTGGTCCTCTTAGGTACAGGTTAAACACTACGGGATCAGGGCCACGGACAGCGCTGGTCCTCTTAGGTACAGGTTAAACACTATGGGATCAGAACGACGGACAGCACTGGTCCTCTTAGGTACAGGTTAAACACTATGGGATCAGAACCACGGACAGCACTGGTCCTCTTAGGTACAGGTTAAACACTACGGGATCAGAACCACGGACAGCGCTGGTCCTCTTAGGTACAGGTTGAACACTACGGGATCAGAACGACGGACAGCGCTGGTCCTCTTAGGTACAGGTTGAACACTACGGGATCAGGACCACGGACAGCCACGGCCCTCTCGGTGAGTGTGCGTCTCTGAGCTTGACTCACACGAACAGCGCCTTGTAATGCCATTCCCCGGACAGCGACACCGATGCTCCGCTGAAGCTGAACTTGAGCCCCGAGCCCGGAACGAACCCCAGCGCCGTGCTGGGCATCGTGAAGTCGGTGATGTGCATCCTGACCACACACGGAACACAAAAGAAAGATATAGGTCCCCTGTGCAGCCTGCAGCTGTGGTTCGCAAACGCCGGCAGGGCACAAACGGTGGTGGCATAGCCAACATCCCACCCGGCCGCCTTTGTCTCCCCAGCGTAGCTGTTCACACACGGTACGAGGTTATTCATTTGTACGTCATTTTAATTGCTCTTGTGGTAAATGCTATGCTGGACAGACGGGACGAAACATTAGCATTAGACTAAGAGAACATAAAATAATTAATCAAATACTCTAAAACACAGTTGCCGGCAGTTGCAGAACATGCTTGGCAACAAGGACATGCAAATGATTTGAAAACGTCGAAGTGTTGCGTAGAACACATTACTACTGGCCGAGACTAATTCGAGAATCTGTTGAAATTGAGACAAATACAAAATAACTTTAACCGCTCTGACAGCTACAGGCTCCGTGCAGCCTGGAAGCATATCATCAAGTAATACACCGTACAATTGCATACCTTGTAAAGGCATCACATGCTAATTAACAGTGATTAACTATCTATAGTTACATTTTGATTTAAAGCTTTCGTGACTGCAGTAATTCATATTCTTAGCTCTTTCGGTAAAGTCACGTTGAAGGGAAACAATAAAATAATAAAAAATATATAAAACAATAACAGTGTTAACACTGTTTGTGTTATGGTCGAAACGTCGTGAGAATTTTTATTGTTTTATATATATTTTATTATTTTATTGTTTCCCTTCAACGTGACTTTACCGAAAGAGCTAAGAATATCTATAGTTATAGAATTACAATAAACCCCCTCTGCTCTCCGCACCTGATTGGCTCACAGTCATAATGTCATCTTGCTCTATTTACGACCGGAACCAGGTGGCCCTCTTCACTATTCTGGCAATCGCCCGCTTGATGCTGGACAATGTAACTACCAGCGAAACGTCCCGGTACTCAAGTGGTAAATGTTGTGGCTTTACTCTCCAACTCACCGGTGGGCGAAAGTAGTAACTACTTGGCGAGTTTTGTTTATGTGACAAACCTTACTGGTTGGCTGTGTCGGGTGGTGGCGGGTTAACGGCACCACATTTATACCGTCACGATCTAACCCCAAAAACCTTTATTTTGTATCTACGTACAGTACGTTGAACTTCTTTCGCCCCGTACGGAACCCACCGTGCTAACTGGAGGTGTGAAAAGGCTGCTACAAGGTCCAAACAATAAAAACAAAAATTCTCAGAGCTGGAATGTATCAGGATGTATCATCCAATTTCAGAGGACAATCATCGTCACATTTAAGATGAACACCGCTCCGCCCGTGCTCGAGGCCTCATTGGCACCTGGCTGAGACCATCATCTCGCTCCACGCGAGGACCCGGTAGAACCACGCCTGTCCGCACTGCACACAATTAAAAGTCGCCGTCGTCGTTGTCGCTGTTGTTCAGGAAAAATGGAAGGAACCGGAAAGAGAATGGGCCTTGACAACGACATCATCATAAGAGATTGGTGCCAGAAAGATGTGGCTACGACTTGAGCACTTTGGCTCTCCAAGACAGAGAGGAAAGGTGGAAACAAATCACGAATTGTTGCAGTGGACACCTACTACGGGCTATCTGCCCATGGGTCGTGATGGTGGTGATGATGATGCTGCCTGTCAGCATTGACAGCTCGGACCTCTGACCTCTGAGCCACCGGCCCCCCCTACTGGAGAATCCTTTACAGGTAACAGGACGACACATTGTACGGAAACCTTTTTATGGGGGGGGGGGGGGGGAGGCAGCTTTTCAGAAAGGGGTCGGGGGAATGGGGTGAGCAGTTCTTTAGCTTAAAATATGAAGGAACTATGGACTAAATTTTGATTTAAATTGTTTATATATCTTTTATTATTTTATTGTTTCCCTTCAACATGACTTTACCGAAAGAGCTAAGAATATGAACTATGGACTATGCACTATATATTTTACCAGGTAAGGCGCACTGAGCTATGAAGCTCTTTTTCAGAAGCGATCACAAACGATAGCTCAACCAAAGTGGTTCTTAATGAGTGGGGGGCACCATCCTGGTCCTGGTGTTAATAATCCCCTCGCCCCCCCCCCCCCCGGTGTGGGTTTGTGATGATAATTTGGGGCAACACAAACCCACACTCACCCTGACAGCGTGTAGTGGATCTTGCCAGAAGAGCCGCTCTGGTCTGGGATCGAGATCCCATGGAGTTTCTGAACCAGGATCCCAACAGCCACGCTCCGACCTGTGAGAGACAGAGACAGATCCCACCATGGTACACATGGTAGCAGTCAGTGGCGTAGTAACTACATTATAATCAGTGGCGTAGTTACTACATTATCAGTGGTGTAGTAACTACATTATCAGTGGCGTAGTAACTACATTATCAGTTGTGTAGTAACTACATTATAATCAGTGGCGTAGTAACTACATTATCAGTGGCGTAGTTACTACATTATCAGTGGTGTAGTAACTACATTATCAGTGGCGTAGTAACTACATTATCAGTGGCGTAGTAACTACATTATAATCAGTGACGAAGTAACTACATTATCAGTGGTGTAGTAACTACATTATCAGTGGCGTAGTAACTACATTATCAGTGGCGTAGTAACTACATTATCAGTGGCGTAGTAACTGCATTATCAGTGGCGTAGTAACTACATTATCAGTGGTGTAGTGACTACATTATCAGTAGCGTAGTAACTACATTATCAGTAACATAGTAACTACATTATCAGTAGCGTAGTAACTACATTATCAGTGACATAGTAACTACATTATCAGTGGCGTAGTAAACTACATTATAATCAGTGGCGTAGTAACTACATTATCAGTGGCGTAGTAACTACATTATCAGTGGTGTAGTAACTCCATTATCAGTGGCGTAGTAACTACATTATCAGTGGCGTAGTAACTACATTATCAGTGGTGTATAACTACATTATCAGTTGTGTAGTAACTACATTATAATCAGTGGCGTAGTAACTAATTATCAGTGGCGTAGTAACTACATTATCAGTGGCGTAGTAACTGCATTATCAGTGGACATAGTAACTACATTATTAGTGGCGTAGTAAACTACATTATTAGTGGCGTAGTAACTACATTATCAGTTCTGTAGTAACTACATTATAATCAGTGGCGTAGTAACTACATTATAATCAGTGGTATAGTAAGTACATTATCAGTGGCGTAGTTACTACATTATCAGTGGTGTAGTAACTAAATTATCAGTGGTGTCGTGACTACATTATCAGTGGTATAGTAAGTACATTATCAGTGGCGTAGTAACTACATTATCAGTGGTGTAGTAACTACATTATCAGTGGTGTAGTGAGTACATTATCAGTGGTGTAGTAACTACATATCAGTGGCGTAGTAACTACATTAATTCAGTGGCGTAGTAACTACATTATCAGTGGCGTAGTAAACTACATTATCAGTGGTGTAGTAACTACATTATCCAGCGATTGACGTGATGACAATCACTTGTGTTGTGGTCGAAATGTCGTAGTTTTTTAAATTATTTTGTTGTTGTTTTCTTTGAACCTATCTAGGTGACTTTACCGAAAGACCCAAAGAATACCAACCAGTTGAGTTTAGTTTCCAGCTCCCTAAGTGGATACATATCTGCATTTTCTGAGATGGCATCAAGATGCTGCAAGCATCTGGCAGGTGCATTTTGCTATATCTGCAGCCAATTTATCAAGACAAGAGCGAAACAGTGCTTTGTGGAAGCATCTGCTCAAATGTGTGAGGCCTACAAGGCATATTTCGGCATGCCTGTCAGGGATCAAGACAAACCCTGGGCACCTCATTTCACCTGTGAAGAAATGAAAACAACTCGGGAATGTAAAATGGACAATTGTTGTTTGGAATTTTATATGTTATAAAATTGGTTAAACATTTTTTGTAAAAGTTTACAATTATCAATGTTTTACAATTGTAATGTGCAACTTCCGCAACATGTCGTGTAGAGGGTACTTCTTCTTTATTACTCACACTGGGCACAACACAGGCCAACACTTATTCTTCCTCACACTGAGTACAACACTAGGTATTAACACCGACCGACTACACACGCACAGCCGATCACTCGGCGCGGTCCCACCGCCCTCACCCGGCCACGCCGCTGGCTGGCGGCGTGCCGAGGAGGGCGATGGAAACCCCGCAGGAGACCTTCCGCGTGGCCGGACGACGGAGAGAGATGGCGGCGAGCAGCGACGCAGCCAGGACCCAAGATCCCACACACAAACCCCGGATCCGCTCCCCCTGATATCTCCCCAGGCGTGGTGAGGCCCCGCCTCCGGCCACGCCCCTTCGTGGAACCTTCCAGAAGGTTCCCGGATCATCTCGGCTCGCCCCACCTGTTACCTTTGCCCCAGATACACCTCTTTCTCTGATTGGTTGGTACTTAACCGTGCCCGTACCCTTGATTCCCTTTCCGGCCAGCAGGTGTTACCCTGCCATTACACATTTTTCAATGTCATTGAATAAACTATATCATATATGAAAATGTTTTGCCAGAATCTCTTACACATTAGTCACGGGTGAAATAAATGTATTTTTCCAGGATGATACAGAGGGGAAAAGAGATCCATGAAGTTCGCTATCCCAAGAATTTGGTGGGAATCCACTGACCACTCAACGAACTGCTACTTCTGCATGGTGGACCCTTCCAAACGTGGGACTGGAAAGAATGCACCTGCTATCACGTATCCGGATCTTCCTTCATCCATCACCCCGATGCCACACTGCCATGAGCTCCCCGTACCCACTCGTCCGGAGAGAGACCGGCCGTCTTTAGAAGAGAGCAGCAAGTCAGAGAGCGAGGAAGACGTTGTAGGTCCAGATGGCATTGTCAGAGGTGGACCTGAAGAGAGAAACCCATACTACCCCAACCAAAAAGACCTCAACGACTGGATCAGATATCTTGGTCTCACCAATTCCAATGCCGAGCTTTTGGAACAAGTGGAACTTGTTGGATGAAAGTGTGCAAGTCGCAGATCAGAAGAAGCATCGCCAACCTTTTTGCAGCTTCTTCATCTGTCAAAATGGGCTCTGTTTCTGCCACAATGTGACCAGTCTGTTTGAGGCAATCAGAATCGCCTGTAACCAGAATTAGTGGCACCTCTTCATTGGCAGCTCATCCAGGAACCTCAAAGCCGTACTGCTCCATAATGATAACAAGTACCTGTCTCTTCCCCTGGCTCACTCGGTGCACCTCAAAGAGGATTACAACAGCATCAAGACCTTGCTGGATGCCTTGAAGTATGATGAGTATGGATGGGAGTTCATCGGAGACTTAAAAATGGTGGCATTCCTGATGGGTCTCCAAGGCGGTTTTACCAAGTTTCCCTGCTATCTTTGCCTTTGGGACAGCAGGGACACCAAGGCGCACTACCACAGGTGGGACTGGCCACAGCGGACCGAGTTCTCCGTGGGGAGGAACAACGTCAAGTGGGAGCCACTGGTGGACCCCCAGAAGGTGCTGATGCCACCATTGCATATCATATTGGGCCTTATGAAACAATTTGTCAGAGCTGTAGATAAGGAGTCGGCAGTCTTCAAGTACCTTCAAGACTTCTTCCCTAACCTGTCTGAGACAAAGGTCAAAGCCGGTGTCTTCGTCGGACCACAGATAAAGAAGATTCTGGAGTGCAATGAATTCCCCAAGAAGCTCACTAGTTAGGAGAAAGCGGCTTGGGACAGCTTTGTCGCAGTGGTTCGTGGCTTCCTGGGCAATCACGAGGTCAAAAACTACGTGGAGCTGGTTGAGACTCTGGTGAAGAACTACGGCACAATGGGCTGTAGGATGTCCCTCAAAGTCCATATCCTTGATGCTCATCTTGATAAATTCAAGGAAAACATGGCAGCATACTCGGAGGAGCAAGGCGAGCGCTTCCACCAGGACATACTGGACTTTGAACGCCACTATCCTAGGACAGTACAACGAGAACATGATGGCAGACTACATTTGGGGGCTGATTTGTGAAAGTGATTTACAGGATAATCGTAAATCTCGAAAAACTACTCACTTCTAAATCTTTTGTAGTCATTATTGTATTACTTTAGTATAAATACATGTTACTTTTGATTCATATGTTGCTTTTTTCTGATTTAATGTGAACGAAAATACACAAATTCGCCCGTTTTCTCGTTGAAAATAGGTAAATTGCAAAATATCACTGTCCTGGTCACAAAAGGAAAGTTTGTGGGCAATAATATCCATTTTCTGTACTTTTGCGGCATAAGCAATTAAGAAATAACACTTACTACCCAGGAACAAAAATTGTGTTACATAGGGTTATCAGTGGTGTAGTAACTACGTTATCAGTGGTGTAGTGACTCCATTATCAGTGGTGTAGTAACTACATTATTAGTGGTGTAGTAACTACAATATCAGTGGCGTAGTAACGACATTATCAGTGGTGTAGTAACTACATTATCAGTGGTGTAGTAACTACATTATCAGTGGCATAGTTACTACATTATCAGTGGCGTAGTAACTACATTATCAGTGGCGTAGTAACTACATTATCAGTGGTGTAGTAACTACATTATCAGTGGTGTAGTAACTACATTATCAGTGGCGTAGTAACTACATTATCAGTGGCGTAGTAACTACATTATCAGTGGTGTAGTAACTACATTATCAGTGGCGTAGTTACTACATTATCAGTGGTGTAGTAACTACATTATCAGTGGCGTAGTAACTACATTATCAGTGGTGTAGTAACTACATTATCAGCTCAGCAGGTGCATCAATCCCTCAGGTGAGGCCCCGGTATTTGATTTGTCTCTTGGCACGGTCGCACCTCGAGGCTGTTGTAGATCGCGGCTCCTCTTGCCCTAACCCCATCGTCGTGACGCTCACGGTCTCGAACATCTAACGCTGTAGGGGCCCCGCTCCGTCTTCGCTGAACGCAGCCACCGCAGCTCCGCTGTCGTTGTATCTCTTTGCTATGTAATTGACGCGTATCTCATGAAATAAATATCCCTTTAACGGAGTTCTATAGTCCAATGTTATTTTAGTCAAGTTACTGTCATTCAAAGCAAGTAACGTTACATTGACACTTCCAAAAATACATCTCGAGCTACGCAAGAGTTACCCTCACACATACACAGTAGCAAATGCATGTTTATCAATAATTTCCTCATATTCTTGGTTCTTTCGGTAAAGTCACGTAGAAGGGAAACAATAAAATAATAAAAATATAAAACAATAAAATTATCACGACGTTTCGACTGCAACACAATCATCATCAGGTGTGAAAACCACAGCAAGGAAATTTGAAAAAAGTGGCGGTTATTGTTTCCCTTTTACGTGACTTTACCGAAAGAACCAAGAATATGAATCCCTGCAGTCACGAAAGCTTTAAATCAAAATAATATCCTCTTCACAACATTTGTGTTTTCTTCAAAATAAACAAATCCCATCGCAGCGGTCGTCAAGGGGGCCTCCGACTCGTGCCGTTGGCCACCAGTGGTGAGATGGGGGGGCACCCCCTGCCCCCCCCCTGCCCCCCACGTTCGTTACGTCACTGATGCCAGCTCTCCAACACGTGGTGCACGTGGCAGGTAAGGGGGATGTCGCCAACGTGTACAGCGGCATGCATCCCGCACCCTGGCCAGGAGTCTGACTCACCGTAGTCAAGTCCGGGCACGGTGAGTCTCACCATGAATCCAGCGGTGTTGGGGCTGCCGGCCTGACCTCTGCTCGGCACTGCCAGGTAGAGACACAGCAGCAGCAGCAGAGACGCCAGGCGCAGACGCATGGTGACGGAGGTGGTGGTGATACCTGGTCTACCTGTGCGACACCTGGTCTACCTGTGCGACACCTGGTCTACCTGTGCGACACCTGGTCTACCTGTGCGACACCTGGTCTACCTGTGCGACACCTGGTCTACCTGTGCGACACCTGGTCTACCTGTGCGCTACCGAGGCCTTCCTGGCTACTACTGTGCTGCCACGCCTCTTTGCGTAACGCGGAAGTGTTGCGATGTCTCGAAATAAACTTCCCGGCGGGCTGGGGCGGGGGGGGGGCCGGGAAATTCCCGGGGGTGTAAGCGGCAGCTGCTAAATCCCCCCCCACACACACACACATCTACCTCCCACACAGACACACACACACCTACCTCCCACAGACACACACACACCTACCTCCCACACAGACATATACACACCTACATCCAACATAGACACACCTACCTCCCACATAGACACACACACCTACCTCCCACGTAGACACACACACCTACCTACCTCCCACACAGACACCACACACACCTACCTCCCACATAGACACACACACCTACCTCCCACGTAGACACACACACACACCTACCTCCCACATAGACATACACACACACCTACCTCCCACATAGACACACCTACCTCCCACACAGACACACACACACCTACCTCCCACACAGACACACACACACCTACCTCCCACACAGACATATACACACCTACATCCAACATAGACACACCTACCTCCCACATAGACACACACACCTACCTCCCACGTAGACACACACACCTACCTACCTCCCACACAGACACACACACACCTACCTCCCACATAGACACACACACCTACCTCCCACGTAGACACACACACACACCTACCTCCCACATAGACATACACACACACCTACCTCCCACATAGACACACCTACCTCCCACACAGACACACACACACCTACCTCCCACACAGACATATACACACCTACATCCAACATAGACACACCTACCTCCCACATAGACACACACACCTACCTCCCACGTAGACACACACACCTACCTACCTCCCACACAGACACACACACACACCTACCTCCCACATAGACACACACACCTACCTCCCACGTAGACACACACACACACCTACCTCCCACATAGACATACACACACACCTACCTCCCACATAGACACACCTACCTCCCACATAGACACACACACACCTACCTCCCACACAGACACACACACACCTACCTCCCACATAGACATACACACACCTACCTCCAACATAGACACACCTACCTCCCACATAGACACACACACCTACCTCCCACGTAGACACACACACCTACCTCCCACACAGACACACACATACACCTACCTCCCACATAGACACACACACCTACCTCCCACGTAGACACACACACACCTACCTCCCACATAGACATACACACACACCTACCTCCCACATAGACACACCTACCTCCCACATAGACACACACACACCTACCTCCCACATAGACACACACACACCTACCTCCCACATAGACACACACACACCTACCTCCCACATAGACATACACACACACCTACCTCCCACATAGACACACCTACCTCCCACATAGACACACACACCTACCTCCCACATAGACACACACACACACCTACCTTCCACATAGACACACACCTACCTCCCCCATAGACATACACACACACCTACCTCCCACATAGACACACACACACCTACCTCCCACATAGACACACACACACCTACCTCCCACATAGACACACACACGCACACCTACCTCCCACATACACACACACACCTACCTCTCACATAGACACACACACCTACCAACAACAACCGCCATTCGCCACTAAGTGGCGGTGACGTCACCACGACGCTTGTGCCAGGCAATGTGCACCCTGAGGCCACGTGAAGTGTCGAACGCCCGCTGGCAGGAGGTCACGGGGCAGACCCAGGTGCCACGGGTCGACTGGCTGAGATGACTGGCTGATGCACCACCTGTGCCCCCTACTGTGCCAACCAGCTGTGCTTTAGCCACCCGGCGCTCCGCTCGTTGTTGTGAGCGTCGCTCCTCCGCCCTCCGTTGTTGTTGGAGGGCGACTGCCTCCAACTGCCCAGTAGCGTCCTTCACGATCCTCCTCCACAGAGGCCGATCTTGACACCGCTGGTACCAGTCATCGGCAAGTCCACTCAGCTCCACGTCCTCCTGTACCACATCACTCCATCTCTTCTCTAGCCCGAGCCGCGCCCGTTTAGCCCCCTCGATCCGGCCGAACAAAAGCTGTTTCGGCATGCGGTGGCTGGGCATGCGGGCTACATGACCCAGCCCTCGCAGCCTTGCCCGCCGGAGGAGCTTACCGATGGGACCTTGTCCAGATCTTTCAAGGATTTGTGAGCTCCTCACACAATCCAGTCTGGTTAAACCCAGGATGGATCGTAGGCAGGCCAGCCTAAATGTTTCTAACCGGCGAAGATGTTCCATTAGGGGGGTCCACGTTTCGCAAGCGTAGAGAAGGGAGGGAATGACCGTGGCCGAGAAGACCTGAAGCTGAGTGCGGAGCGACAGACCAGGTAGCTTCCACACAGCGTTACGCAACCGATTAAAATATATTGCCGCTCGACTGATTCGGAGTGAGACCTCTGCTGTTAAACTGGAGCCGGTCATAAGCACACTGCCCAGGTATGGGAAACTCTCCACTATTTCCACAACTGCCCCATCACCGATTGGGAGTTGTGGGGGTGGAGTGTCCGATGGTACAAAATACCCAGGCAGGTGCTTAGTTTTGGTGGGGCTGATGGTAAGGCCCCACTTCTTAGTGGCACGCTCCAGTCTCAGCAGCAGCGCCTCCAACTCCTCCTCTGAATGAGCAGCTATTACCAAATCATCAGCATACATAACGTGGTTGAGCAATAGGGAGCCATCCCATTATATCTGTACCATATGGAGATTCCCCCGGTACAGCTATTGAAGGCTTCACGAACTACGTGGTCAAAATAGATGTTAAATAGTGTGGGAGCCAGAGGACATCCCTGTCGCACCCCAAAGTGTACAGGGAATGGCTCTGACTCCCGGCCACGTAGTTTTACCCGGGCCCGCTCACCATCATGAAGGTCCTTAATGATCGTGAGCAGAGGGTCAGGTACTCCAAAAGCACGAAGAACAACCCAGAGCCCAGGCCTACTGATGGTATCATAGGCCTTGACCAGGTCAATAAAGCAGAGATGTAGGTCTTGTTGGAATTCCCTACACTTCTGCTGTAGCAGACGGACACATACACACACACACACACACCTACTTCCCACATAGACACACACACACACCTACCTCCCACATAGACACACACACACCTACCTCCCACATAGACACACACACCTACTTCCCACATAGACACACACACCTACTTCCCACATAGACACACACACACCTACCTCCCACATAGACACACATACACACACACACCTACCTCCCACATAGACACACACACCTACTTCCCACATAGACACACACACACACACCTACCTCCCACATAGACACACACACACCTACCTCCCACATAGACACACACACACCTACCTCCCACATAGACACACAAACACATACCTCTCACATAGACACACACACACCTACCTCCCACATAGACACACATACACACACACACGCGCATATATAGACAAAGATCCCCCGTGTAGCCTGTAACAGACTGTTTGGCAAGTGCTGTTTGCGAGCAGCACCTATGAAGGTTGGAACAGAACACGAGGGGGTGGGTGGCCAGCACCACGTCCGGCCGCCTTTGTCTCCCTCGTGGCGATGTTTACTACTCAGGTACTCATTTGAGGCTGAGTCGACCTAGGGGGAGGCCCAGGACACGGTTCAGATAATAGTTACCCGGTGGTGTTGGTGGCTGTGAACGGGAATCGAACCCGGGTGGCCGGGTTTGTAGCACAGCGTAGCGCTAACCACTGCACTACCGCTCCCCACAAAGAAACACATACCACCACACACACACCACACACACACGCACACACACCGATATATAGAATGCACACACACCACACACCACACCACACACACCACACACACCACACACACCACACACACACGCACACACACCGATATATAGAATGCACACACACACTACACACACACACACACACCTATATATACTACACACACCACACATACACGCACATACGCCGATATATAGCATGCACACACACACCACACACACACATCTATATATAATGCACACACACACACCACACACACATATATATAATGCACACACACCACACACACCACACACCCACCAAACACACACCACACACACACCACACACACACCACACACACCTATATATAGAATGCACACCCACCACACACACCACTCACACCACACACACCACACACACACACACCACACACACACACCACACACCCCTCACACACCACACACACACCACACACACACCCCACCCCAACCCACCACACCCACCACACACACACACCCCACACACCACACACACCACACACCCCCACACCACACACACACACAGACCTACCACACACACACCACACACACCACACACACCTATATATAGAATGCACACCCACCACACACACACCAACACACACACCACACACCTACCACACACCCACACACACACCACACACACACACACCACACACCACACACCACACACCACACACACCTATATATAGAATGCACACCCACCACACACACACCACACACACACCACACACACACCACACACCACACACACCACACACCCCACACACACACACACACACCACACACACACACAACACACCACAACACACCACACACACACCACCACACCACACACACAACCCACAACCCACACACCACACACACAACCACACCACACACCACACCACACCACCACACACCACCACCACACACCCACCACACACACACACAACCACACACACACCACACACACACCACAGACACCACACCACACACACCACACACACACCACACACACACCACACACACACCACACACACCACACACACCTCCCAGACAGGCGTCATGCATGATAGCGGCAAGGCATGATGTGCACTGGCTCTCAGTACGGTTGCCACATGTCCCGGTTTTCCCAGAATCGTCCTCGTGTTGTCGAGGAGGCGTCTTGGGTGATCTCCGGCACTGGCTTGGCCGAGCTGCGTTGGATTGCTCAAAGAATACAGTGAAACTTGGCGCTCGTGACGCACAAAACACTCGCCTCGTCAAGGTCGCATCTCGCATCAAGTATCAAGACGCCAACTTGGGCGGCCATCCTCACAGCAGCAGACGTAAATAATGTGGCGTCA